AACGTTTGTTTCTTGAAAATTTGATCACGATTTAAATACAGTATTTACTTTTAATATTACCGATATGTCATCGAAAAGAAAACGTGTTGTATTATCATTAAAAGACAAATTAAAGTATTTGTTTTGATTATCCGGATTTTTCCTTATCCGGACTACTTTCATCTCCAATTAGTCCGGATAATCGAGGTTCTACTGTACTTGTATTTTCATTTATTCTTTTAGAAATTATAAAAGTAAATTTTATTGCTTGAATGTTCTCCATTAATCTTGTCCAGAGGTTCTTATTCTCACCTGTATAAATATGGGGTTCAAGTGCATTTGCACTCCAACCTACATACAATATTATTTTTGTTCCATATCCCTATTTCTGGTTCTATTTCTTTTTTAATAATTTTGTGTATATATAATATAAAATGTATGTTAAAAACTCGATATATACAAAGGCTATTTTTTAAATAAGGTCCGTTTGTGAATGATGGTAAGAATGACGAGCAATTGCAGCAGCGTGCATGAGCATCTGCTTTCAGCATGCTTTGCACGTGTTTAGATGCCATTTGCAGCTGTATCGTCTGTCTGTGTGCTGAACTGTAGAAATTTATAATGTTTAAGAAAATTGAGTCACCCGCCGACTGTAAGATACGATCTGTTTTTTTGATTTCAGCACGAAAGATCACGGTAACTGTCTTTTGGGACAGGAAAGGGACTTTGTTAGTGGATTTTATGCCAAGAGACACAACAATCAATTCTGATGCTTATTGTGTAATCATAGAAAACTCCGCCGTGCCATACAAGACAAGTGGCGTGGCCTAATGTCTTTCGGTGGCAGGCGGCAGATTTCTTTGAAGTCGAAATTTAAAAAATTTTTGAGAGGTATGACAAATGTTTGAACAAAAATGGAAATTATGTAGAAAAGTAGATAAAAGTATGTAGAATGTGGGAAAAAATATATTTTAATGATATTTACAGTATTTTTCTTCTTATTAAAAAACGGACCTTATTTAAAAAATAGTCCTCATACTTAAATTGAACAAATTGTATGTATAAAATCTATATTATGTAATATTGACATGCCTTAAATTTGGTTTCATTTTTTTGTCAATGAATTTGATTATTTGAACTATTTTTAGTAATTAGAGAGTAGATTACTTTATGTTTAATTTAAATTAAAACACTACTGGATTAGATAAACTTTATCATGATTTTCTAAATAATCATTTTGAAAAGATATAAATAAGAATTTGATTGAACCTTTGAGCAGAAAAATTAATTTTATTAATTTTATTTTAGGCTTGATCCTGCCAGTAAAGAAACTACTGTTATTAATCATATTTTTGGTGGTTATCATCGTAGTCAAGGTATAATAATCATGAAGTGATTTGATTAATTTTTAATTATAAATACTGTATTTAAAAATATGTAATAAATAATAATTTTTTATTATAATTACTTTTAAAAATGAAACTGTTTGTAACTTAAATCATTGGTTTTCAGTCTTAATGATATGAGACCGCCATTTGGTTTATATATACAGAAGAATCTACTTAGTGTAATCACTTTAAGATTTGTTGAAACTGATATTGAAGGATGATAATTAATGATAGTGATAGTGATGATGATGATGTGGTAACTAAAACTAATAGTTAGTGAAAAGTCTGGTTTTATCAACTGTGTTGGCATTAACAGGACTTTTAATACTATCAGCCCTATATTGAGGCTGATAGTATGAAAAGACAGCTTAAGGATGGATGTGTGGCAACTAAAATCAGCATAATGACATCACTTTTTTTCACTGCAGAAATCTATTTTGTGCCACTTTTCTCATACCACAAATGTTGGCCGAATTTTATTTTTTGTAGAGGCTGCCACCAAGATACATTTCTATTAGCCAATATTAGTTTGTTTTGAAGTTGTGTGAGAAAATAGACTCAATTGTTGTTTTAATGGTTGAAAGTTCAATACAACAACTGAGATTAGAATAAAAAGAGGAAAGGATAATAAATTTAATAAAAATTCTACACAAATAATCATATATAAATTAAAAGGAGAAAACAAACAAATCTTACTCAAAATAGTATTCTTTATCAAAAGATCTTAAATCTTTGGTCAAATCTTCTTTGATCGACTTCTTCTATCTAAATAAAGTACAAAATAAAATTTGTAAACATGAGGAAAATGGCTGTGTTGTTACTGTTTGCCATTTTTAATATTGTACACATGTATAGATGTGGGTGGCATAATTTTTTTCACCCTCTTTGAAGCTTAATAACTCCTGTGCTTTTTGTTGAAAATTTCTGAAATTTTGGAAAGAGGTTTGTGTATTAAGGGGATTGATGCTATTAAATTTTGATGGTTAAAGTTAAGGAGATGGGGAGATAAATGAGGTTGTGTGTCATATCTCAAGTAGGGTTGGACTTAATGACAATTTTCCTCATTACTAGCATTTACAATTTTTTTATAAAACCCATCCTACCTTCAAAATTAAGCTTTTTGCCATTTTATAATTAAAAATATGAAACGTTTTTAATAATAAATGATCATAATGGTTGGAACCAGGCATAGTTTTAAATGTTGCCAGAAAAGTTAAGCAACTTGTCACTGGATTTTTTAAAATTAAGCTAATAGTTTTTATAAACTGAAGTTTTTAAGAATTTAGATAGCTGTATTGAGTAGAAAATTTATTTCTCAGAATTTGATCTCAAAGAAATTGATCTCTCAGAAACTTTTACTTTTCTCTGGTTATACAGTGGCTTCAGAATGCTCTCTAATAGAACAAAATGTTAAAATAAATTATTTTATTTGTTACAGTAGAACCTCGATTATCCAGATTGTTCAAAATAAACAAAAATTTTCCAAATTTGCTGATTTGCACTTGGCGAATTGCAATACTGTTTATGCACATGATGGAACGCATAACTTTTTTTGTTCCAACAATGTCTCACCCGGCAAAGTGGTCGTAAACTTTTTAATACATTTTGCATTGTAATAAAAATATAACTTGACATACATATTTATAAATAATTTATATTGAAATTACGTCATTTCTATGGCCAAGGGTGGCGTAAGGCATGGGCGACATGGGCCACCTCCTACGGCCTCATGGTCTGAGGGGACCTCACACCTCAAAGGTTTATGCATTACTTAAAAGCTGTGAACGCAACGAAAAAATTTTGTGTGTCATAAAACGATAAATAGTTTGCATTTTTATGAATAAAAATTTGACAGTTTTAACTGCTTTTTATTTTATAAAATCTGTCTTCTTGCACACCAGAGGGCCTTTAAACAATAGGCAGTTTGTTAGTACCGGTCAGTAGTAGTCCAAATTCAATATGAACGTTTGTTTCTTGAAAATTTGGTCATGATTTAAATACAACATTTATTTTTATTACTATCGATGTGTCATTGAAAAGAAAACGTGTTGTATTATCATTAAAGACAAATTGGATATAATCAATGGTTTGAAACACGGTGAGTCTGGACATTCATTATCTAATAAATATGGTGTTGGAACGTCAACAATCTCGGATATAAAAAAACACAAAGTGAAAAAATTATGAAGTTAAACAATAATCAATTTTCTTAATAAAAAATAATTTAATACTGAAGCTACAGTATATGTAAATCTAGACAAATAAAAATTATTCATACTGTATGTACTGTAATGTACATGTCTTTCACTGTCAATTATTATTTTTTCGATTATCCAGATTTTTCCTTATCCAGACTATTTTCATCCCCAATTAGTCCGGATAATCGAGGTTCTACTGTATTTGACCTTTAATGGGAGAATTAAAAATATGAATAAATTTGATAAAATATATGTAGCTTATCAGTTATTGAACACATTTGAAATATTTTGTTGCTCAGATCATAATCAAACCTGAGAGAACTACATTATAATATATTTAGAAATAATTAAATTTGGATATTTTAAACTGATTTATATCAGAATTTGCTTTTTTTATGGTCTCATAACATCAAAGAAGGAATCATTGAAGGAATCATTGTTCTCATAATAATTTTTTATTTACTTTAATTTTAGTTATATGTTTACGCTGCAAAGAAAAAAGTAATACATATGATCATTTTATGGATTTTATATTGGATATTAAGGTAAGAATTTAAGTAAAATTTTATAATTGAATGATAATGTTAAAAAGATAAAATGTCTTGATATCTAACATGTTTATTATTTTTATTTTTATGAAATATTTTTTCTTTTTTAAGAAAAATTTATTTGAGTTTTTAGGAAGTTTATATTAAACTAGCTTACCCGTCGCGCATTGCTGCGATCTCAGAAGAAAGGAAATTCAAGCAAACTCGTTATGATAAAATTAAATTTACATTTCATCATTTTTATTGAAACTTATTATTATTATTCATTTTAATCGGGAAAACATTTCAAAGTGTCGTTTCAATTCTATTTATTTATTGGAGTGCTTGTGGATACACGATATTTTTTGTTTTTCCGTCTGGTGCGTACACGAATAAATCGGAAGGTTTTTCAACGCGTGAGCCGGCCACATACAGTTGCCCATGCGAGAAGCACGGATTCTCCAAATTTAGCCCACACACTCGCTGCGATTGTCAGAAGTGTGATGTTCCCCATTTTTATATATATATTTTTAATTCTTTATAATTTTAATTATTTAATTGCTCCTTCCTCTCTTCCTTGGCATGTTGTGAAATTTCTGATAGTCGGATAATAAACTGTTTTATTGTAATTTGTCTTTTTAAATTATTAGATGATATTAAAATTTGGAAAAGGGGATCCCTAGATCGGTAAAATAGGCGAATTTCCTTCTACAACTTCGGTTGTTGTTCGGTATACAGTTAAAGTTTTAACAAAGTTCGAGCGAATACGTAATTAGCAAAAAAAAGTTGAAATAAAGTGATTAAACAAAAATTATTACAAATATCGTAAATAACAGTTCACAAATGCATATATAGATATTTTTTGAAGGGGGGAAATGGTCTTCACAATTTGAAATCGATCAAACACACTGTGCGCGAATGCTAGTGTAAACACACACCATCTATCGTAGGATAAATGTACTTTGCGGGAGTGTATTAAAAAATTAAAAAAACTTTTCAAAGTTTTATGGCAATCGTACTACGCCACAAACCTTCGCCGGAGTATATTAAACAACTTCCCAAAGTTTCACGGCAATCGGATAAACGGTATGGTAATGCATGAAGGACACACAGACATACATTCATTTTTATATATATAGACAATTTTGGTTTCCTCCTTTTTGCTTTCTTTGTTTCTTTAAGAAACTATAATATTACTTCTTAAATTAGGAGCTATATGTTGCTAATTATTATATAATTAACAGTAATAATTATAATTTTTAATTTTTAACCTGATGATAAATAATTAATATGAGTAAATTTAGTAATGATAAATTTTGATTAACTGAAATATGATTAGCCTAATTTGCGATAAAATCATTTTTTATAGTAAATTAATAGATTTTCAATAAAATTGCATATTATGAGTTATCTAGTAACCATTTTATAATTCAATGAAATGAATATTTTATTTTGTTTAATTTTATCTTTACTTAATTTGTGAAAAAATTGTCAGTTTTCTATCTATATAAAACTATATTTAATATACAATTAAAAAATATAATGACATGTCAGGATGAAATTCATACATTACAAAATTAAATGTGTAGAAGTATCACAAAAATGTCTTCTTTTAAATCTTAACACCTTTTTCCCACTTCGGGAACTAGCTATCCTTATGGCGGAGTTGACCATAATTATATTTTTTAATTGTAAATTAAATTTAATGATTGTGCTGAAAATCTTGGGAATATTTTTAACAATATTTTATATATTGAGGCAGAAGAGTGGCCTAAAAAGAAGGTTGACTCCACCATAAGGACAGTTAGTTCCTGAAAGTGTGAAAAGGACATTAAGAACTAAAAGAAGATATTTTTGTGATATTTCTACACATTTAATTTTGTAATATATTTAGAGGCTAATATTTTAATTCTTTGTACTCCAAGAATTTTTATTACTGGTAGTTGCAGTAATTTTTTTTGATCCAAGCAAGCACCTAAATTTAAACTCTGCATGTCTTTTAATTGTTACATGGACTTACTACTGCATCTAAAATTGCAGTGCAAGAGGGTTTTATACATATGACGGCAACTGTTCTCTGTAACATCATACATGAATGGTATGATGTTAGATTCTGTAGAAAAACATGAATGGTTTTTCTACAGAAGTACTTTCATTTTATCATCAGTGTCGTTTTTGATAACTTGTGTTTTTCATCTTTTTTTTTTTCACTATTACCTTCAGCATCATACTTACTTTCAATTTCTTCTGCTATAGTATCATTCAAATTGTCTCTATAAGTTAAAAAACAAATTAATCTTCACTTCCAGTGTTTTCAAAATTTTTACAGCGAGTTCTTGTATTTTTTATGGGTGGAAAAAATTTGTAACAACTTATACTTGTGATTTTACACATAATATTGTCATAGCAGTGTGTCAAGTAGAAACATGTCACATTTTGGCATCGGCAGACTTGTTATGTTTACTATTGATGTTACAATAGTGGTATGTGTAGATTTGTGAGTTTTTACTATTGATATTGTCTTAATGGAGTCAGTATCTCACTTAAAATTTACAAAATTCTAGATGTAATGGTGTCTATGGAATTGTATACTATATTATTGATCTTGATGTAGCAGTACTTAAACGACTGAAAATGGTTAATCAATTCCATGCAAACTATCTACAGAAAAAAATTGAATGGAATTCGTCATGCAACGCATTTTTTGAATTTTTGGATAATTTTTTAAATCGAGATATTTCGCTTCAAAATCGCGCTATATTTAATCTGTTTTTTGTGTTTGATTAAAAACATATTGCAGTTTACGATTGTTTAATTTTTAGTTTAATACAAATTTAAAATAATATTAAAATTTCGACGTTCACGAACAATAGAAAAAAAAATTAATTTACAGAGATTCGCTGAACTTTGTACATCTGTTCGTTAGACACATCTGTCTTCTTTTAAATAAAACAAACCGCAGCTCTCTAGCTAAAGCGGGGGAGAAGTTATTGCCATTATTTACACTACGTCTCTAATTACCCAGCGGGGAGAGGAGTCGATTGTCATCGTGAAGTGATGCCGATTAGTGAACCGTATGACCGATACGGCTTACTTAATTGTTTACGTATTTCCTCTTATTACGTAACTGCGAAAATTTGACTTTACCCTCACGTATATATATAAACAGTTCTGAGTAAAGTCCTTGTTTACAATGTACTGTACTCTGTCTCCCTATATGACTAACTGCGGGGAGTGGGAAGTGGCTAGGGTATTTTTAGGTCAAAGTTTATCAACATGCTTTTATAAGAGTGAATATTTGACACTTTTTACATATTTTTTCAACGCTTTATATAATAATACCCTATAATAAATGACTAGTTAATTTTTTTTGTGATTACGCAATATCCGGAAGTAATGAGTTTCTCAGAAAATTTTTTAGCTGGAAGCTTTTGATAAAATATCTGCTTGTCTACGTAGAGTCAAATAACATGAAAACTAGTAGAATTACGCTCTAAAATAATAAATATAGCTATTTTTTAACGTTTGTTTACATAATGACTTCAATCACGTAGATTGGTTCTTCGCGGGAAAATCCAGACTAGATGGTTCTGAAAAAAACTCTCATTCGTTAAAGTTAAATCAGTCATAATATAAATTACCAATTAGACGTAATAAGCGTAGAAACAAAAGTTTTAAAGCCAATTAACAGCAAGAACGTCTTCCATCGACTTACTATAGAGAGGTGGAGCTTCCAGGGAATATTTCTTGCTAGATAGTTTTAAAAACATATTAGTACGATTAAATATTGTCGAATTAGCTAATTTAATGTCTTAAAACGTTAAATTAGTTAATTAGAGCTAAAAAACGATTTAAAAAGCGAATTTATTGTGATTGTTTACATTTTACTTCGAAGGTTGGAGGCGGGACTTTTCGCGGCAATTTTTCCTTTCACAAGTCTGTGATTAGTTACAGTAATGTCAACAAAGACAGAAGATACCCAATAAAACTTTAGAAGGAGTTTCCCTTTGATTGTTTTCAACAACTGTCTAGTTAACTTCGAAGATTTACTGTAAATAATAGGGGAGTGTATTTCCCGAAATATTTATGGCCCAGGGGTAGTAACAAAACGCTTATTGGCTTAAACAAAGTCAATCGACCTACAAAAGAGCGAATCATAGCTAAAATCGCAAGAAAACTCGAATATAACGCGAATTATTCAAATTTTTTATTAAAATCGCATTTTTGCACTTGTTGCATCTCATTAATAACAGGTGGTCACGTGATCCCGCGATATCGCGGTCGTTGCATCAAAAAAGTTAATATATGACTCATTTTTCAATATTACTAGAACTTTTTACCTGTTACACCCTCTACCAAATTTGTGTTATTGTTGATTTCTCAAAATGTCAAGAATTCATTGATGAAGCTTCATTGTTTTGTCTTCAGTAGGACAAAAGTTATATATTTCTACCACTTCCTGAAGACATACTTGAAAAGAGCAATGAACTTTTATCAAACTTCAGATCACATAGAGAATAAATAATATAAAAAGTTATTTTTTATTCTGTATTATAAAAAAAACTATATTATTATTAAAAATATTGAATACATAGCGATTTTATAAAATTTTTAATAAATAAGACATAATTTTATTTTTCTTTTCAGCAAAATGTTCAAAGTCTAGAAAAAGCATTAGAGAAATTTATTCAACCAGAATTATTGCAAAACGAAAATGCTTATAAATGTCCCAGATGTAATATGAAGGTTTCTGCACAAAAGCGGTTTACTGTACATAGACCTCCAAATGTTGCCACATTTCAGTTTAAAAGGTATATAAAATATGCATTTTTATTCTTAATATTTCTTATTTTTTTTTATGTTTAATTTCATTATTGTTGTTTATTTTTAAAATGCTAACTGAATTTTTAAAGTACTTTAAAAAAATGTAAATGAGTAGAGTAAAGGAAATTGAATGATCAAAAAATGTTTCATATAATTAAAAAATTCAATTTAGTAAAATTTTTTCAGTAGTATCAACTATTAAATTAAAAAATTATCACTTTGACTATCATTGAATAATTTTTGTTGTAACAAATTTATAATCACAGTTAATAGAGAGGTTGCAGCCAACATTTTCATTGCAAAAACATGAATGTAAGACATTCAGTGCCACCTTCCTGTAAGCCTAGAAGTTTGACAGTGGTGTTTGGAACATCAGTGGAATCATGCTTGACATTCCAAATGCTGTTGTCAAACTTCTAGGCTTACAGGAAGGTGGTGCTGAACGTCTGACATTCACATTTTTGCGATGAAAATGTTGGCCGCAACCTCTCTAATAACAACACTGAAATTATGTTAATGTTATTTTTATTAAAACTACTTTTATTTTATTTTCACTATTCTTTACTATCACATTATTAGATTTAAAAGTTGGATTAACTTAGCTCAGTAGCATTTATTTTGATTGTTTTTTTTAATCTTGTTTTTAAGTTCTTGTTTATTTTTAAATTAAAAAAATGATGATATTGCTCTAAAATTATGATTGCATTGTTAGACTTAAGTCAAATATTTATCAACAATAACAGTTTTATAATATTTTATGGTTGTAAAGATACACTTAGTTAGTATTGGCCACATATTAGATATTAAAATAAATGAGAAATGTGTGATATTTATAATTTTATGTATTAATTTATAATAATAATTTATATTAAATTATTTTCTATATTTAAATATGTGAAGTTTTAATTTAATATATAGTATTATACAGTATTAGTAGTATGTAGCATATAGTATTTAGTATTTGGTAAGATTAACAATTGCTATTGTTATTCATGTCAGTTGTTGACAACTGTTGAAAGCACATTTCTTTCTTCAGCATGTCAAACTGTAAGAACCAACCTAATATTTCTGATTAAAAAGACAAAAACAATCTTGCATCAGAGTTCTTAGGAAGAAAAATAAAATACTTTGTTATAATGTTAGACTCTTTTTATAGTTACTGTTATAGAAAAGTGAAAAAATTCAGTAACAAGTTGACTTAACTTTCCTGGCAGCATTGGTGGCAGCATCTGTTATTATATTGTATTTAAAAACTTTTTATATTTTTAACTATTATAAAATGACAAAATGCTTAATTTTGAGAGTAGGGATAGGTTTTATAAAAAATTGTAAATGCTGATAACAAATAACATTGTCATTAAGTCAGATCCCTCTGGAGATAGACACGATCCTCTTTATCTCACCACCCCAGTGACCTTTAATTACCAAAATTTAATAGCATCAATCCCCTAATACACAAACCTCTCTGCAAAATTTCAGAAATTGTTGACAAAAAGCACAGGATTTATTTAGCTTCAAAGAGGGCAAGTGAAATCATGCTTTACACACACTAACATCTATACATACAGAAATGACCAAATTTTTTTTCATTTCTCGACGTTTAAGTCCAAAGATGTAAAATTCTGGGAGTCTTTCCTTGACCAATTGCCATACTTTCCCTTTGTTATTATGATACAAGGCACCGATTAGCTTTGGTGCCTCGCATCATATTCACTTAGCTAGTGCCATTCTTGGATATGAAACTTTCAAAGTCTTATAAGCTAAACATTAAAATTTTAGAGGCCACTTTTTTGGAAGTGTTTGAAAAGTGGGTTCTGTTATTTGGACAAGGATCTGTTTATGCTAAAGCTATGTGCTCACCAAATTTTGTTCAAATTGGAGACCCGAACATCTGGCCTTCTCTTTGTAAGTGACAGTTTAACATATTACTTTGTTTTCAAGATGCCAAACTGATAAGGCTACCAGCACCTGCATTAGTTAGTAAAACTGGTGGCAAAAAAATTTAAAACAGTGAAATGGTGGTGAGTTTTTAAAAATTTTCCAGAACAACCACTGCAAATGTACATTGACATCAATACATTTTAATACAAAAGTAGAAGTTTGTTAGTTTGGCACTTGATAAATAGGAATGTATGGTAATACCAGCAAACTCTAAAAGTAGCCAATAATCTGGAATTGTCTAATGATAATCCACAAAACAGAATACAGGAGGACTCAAATACTCATTGAGTGTAATTTAGCAAACTGTATATTGTCTGCATTGTATTGTATTGAAAGAACACTGCTTTATTAGAGCTAACATACAGATATTTTTGGTAATATGTGTGACTGATTTATTTTCTTTCCCAAAGTCTAATTTGAGGATAATACACTTAAAAACAAATTTTTCATACTTGGAGCATGTGCAGCTTTTGTGAATCATTATGAATGCTCATTTTATGAAGCAATGTATTCATTAACATTTTTATAGATCTCTCAACCAATCTTAATATGATATAGTCATGCACTGTATCATCAGACTGATTAAAAATCATGCACATAAATAAATCAGATATCTGCAATGTTCAGATGCATATAACTTATCAAATTTTGCAGAAATACAAAAAAGTTTGATAATCTGACATCACTTTGGTTCTTTACATTTGCTGTGATTCTTGTGATGCTGCCAAATCAACCAACTATTATATATAGATTTCTAAAATCAGTTTGTTTATAAAATTGAATTATTTAGGATAGATGTCGGCAACCTATGGCACGTGTGCCAAATGTGACATGTGGGATGATTTTCAATGGCACTCTGATTGAATAAAAATGTAGTAAAAATTATATTTTAATTATTAATTACATATTTAAATGAAATTCATAGTTTAGCAAAGGTCATGGTACATTACAAATGAACCTCTTGTTTGTATATTTCTATTACAGTGCATGCATTTACACTCTGTGTTGCCATCTATGTGTTATGCAAGTGCTTCACATGTAAGAACATAATTCAATTAACAACTTAACTTCAAATATATACATTTTTGAAGTCCTTTATAACTGGACTAATTTTGATAACATATATGAGCTGTTGATTTTGAAAGTGGGGCAAGTCCATTTTGTGAAAAAATAGTTAAAGCTAATTCTTATTACAAATTAACATAAAATTTATGTTTTTAATCAATTCACAATTCACCATCTAAACTAAGAAATATAATTATATGCATGCAACTTATTACTGAATATTTTTTCTTATGTTAGCCACTTTTTCCTATAAAATTAATTTTTTGTTTTGTTGTAGCTTTTCAAAAGAAGTATGAAACGTTGAAATAAAATAAATAAGTAAATAAATAAAATATTCAATTTATTATTTTTATAATTATATTCCGTTCAAAGAAAATCAACGTTTTCAACAAATCATTGATTTTGAAAGTGAGGCAAGTCCATTGGTGCATACCAAAACCATGATTTCTTTCACTTAACATGGATAGCCATTATTGCATACTAAATTTACATGAAATAAGACCACAAAAATATAAAATAAGTATCACTGCTTATGAATATTTTTAAATCCATTCAAATGAGTTTAAAACCCCATTAAATATCTAACAATAGCATAAAATGGAATTGCCCCCTTTCAAAATCAATGGCTCATATAATAAACCTGGTAGAATCATGTTGGCACTCGGAATAACACTAAGTTATGTTCGGCACAACACTGATGAATGGTTGCCAACCCCTGTTTTAGGAAATATTCTTTGACTGAAAATTATATAATTTGTCACATTTTAAACTATGTAATAAAAATTAATAATTACACATTAAAATTTAAAGCTGTATTTTAAAAATTACTATTAAAATAGGATTTAAAAAAATAAGTTTTAATATTTGAATAAAATAAATTATAAAATATTNTTATATATATATTAATAATTATAGTTATATTTTACATTATTATATATAAATATGTAACAGATTCATATTTAATATAAAAAAATTATTGTTTTGATTTCTTCACTTCCTTTTTTTTTAAATAAATCAAATAAATTGTATAAATGAATGCAATAATTTATCACTAACTTTTTTATTTGAAATAGATTTGATTACAATCGGATGTTTGGTGGAAAGATAACAAAACATGTTTCTTATCCTGAAAAATTAGATCTTCGGCCTTATATGTCTGATACTAAGGTAAATGAATTTTAACATTAAAGTTTATTTGTTCATGATTTTAAATTTTTATGTAAAATATTTGTTTTTGCCAAAGCATTTTTCTCTCCATTATATTCATTGGATCTAGCATCTAATAAGTTTTGTATTATCTCAAATTATGAAAAGCTTGTAAAAAAAGCAGTAGTAATCCAGAATCAGTAATTTTGAGTTTATTAAAAGACAACTTTAAGAAATATTTTTTATCTATATTTTATTATAGTTTATTTTCATTTCTGAGACTTTTTAAATAGATTTTGTACTTCATCTAATTATTAAATAAATAAATAAAAATCAAATAAGCAAATATTTATTGTGACATTGTCACAATGCCTGGCTGCAATTTTAATTGTATTTTTAATTTATTTAATTTAAAGTATATGCTCTCTATCTGAAATTAGTAGTGACTTGCTCCTGTACATCATACTTTTCCTATTAGAATAGAATCGTGCCAGTCATCTATCTAACTCCTTCCAGAGGAAAATTTTTGAATATTAATAACACGGACTTCTGGTTTTGCATTGGAAGTTCATATATAGTTAATTGGAGCCTCCTGCCCTAAGCTGTCTGTATATGATATCTGCTTTCACCTATGTAACTCCATTCTTGAGAATAAGGAAAGACAGACAGACAGCAGTGGGAATTATAATTACAGGTTTACAATTTTTTCAAATTGCAGCTCAATAAAATTTTAATTTTATAGTACTTCCTAGAACAAGAAGGAAGCCAATGTTATAGATTTTGTATGTGCATCATTCTAGTGCCATAACTAAAGAACAAAATTTGAAAATTTTGTTGAATAAAAAGGAACAGAATAAAGACTTTGAAAAACTTAAATATCATGTCATATAACATTGTATGACATTTTTTTTTTTTTTTTTTAATAATCCCAAATTTCTTGCAAAAGTAGCAAAATTTTAAATATATTATAACATTTTAAACAAATTTAAATATATATTTTAATTTTCTAATATATGTTATATTATGTTCTACTTTATGATGAACACAGAAATACTTTCCTTTGCATATGTAGTCTAATAAACATCAGCTTTATTCTTATCCTAAGAAAGACTAGTTTAATTATATGATGAGTTTTTCTAGAATGTATACATTTATTTTTCCTTAAAAGATTAAGTATGGAGAATTCTTTTAAGATCTTTCATTTTTTTATAAGCATATCAAATTATTATTTAAATTAATTATTTAGCAATTAATTTTTTATAGTAAATATTTAGATATTTAGATTCAATTTTTTTAGAAGTAAAAAATTTGCTGTTTTCTGTCACAACTAGTTGCATAGATAGACACTGGGTGTTTTTGACATCACTCTTTATTCCTGAATGAAGAGTGATGTCAGAAATGTCCAGTGTCTATCTATGCACCTAGTTGTGACAGAAAAAAACAAATAAAAGAAGACACTGTTTCAGAATAAGCAAAAGTAAAAAATTCTTACTATAATTTATTTTGTAGGGTGGACCAGTTATTTATAGATTGAATGCAGTTTTAGTTCATCTTGGTCCCAGCTGTAATTCTGGACATTATTTCTGTTATGTTCGTAATTCTAATGGTTACTGGTATCTAATGGATGATGCTCGTGTGAGTATCGTTTTACTTTTTGATTATTTTGTATTGAATTTATCTTTGAAAAAATACAATAATCAAATATTTATTATTTAAAAAAAATTATTATGATTACTTTTACTATTTTGATGCTGATTATTATATTTATATCTTTATAAGGTGCAACTGATTTAGTTCAGAAAGACCAGACAGATAGTTTAGTCATTTTAATAAGAGCTCTCATTGAAAACCCAAGAAATTATTAACACGACTCATAATGATGTCAAGCTTTGTTTGTGCTTAAATTAAAACAAAACAACAATAACTACCTCATATTATTATTACCACATTTATTTTAAGATAAATTTGGCCTATATTATTAAGTATTAGTTTGTTCATAGTGACAAATAAAGAAACAAATTAACTGGGTTAGATTGATTACTTAGTATGAAAAGTAAACATGATGAATAAATAAAGTTTACTTTATGCTGATGGCTATTGGTTTAATATAAAATAATATGTTGTTTGTTTTTTTTTTGTGTAGTAATTTATAATTGTATGTCATAAGGAATATTGTGTCAAAATTAGAATATTTGGATTTTATGTTATATGCCAGTAACTAACTCTCTAGATCAGTGATTTCCAAACTTTTTTGAGCCACTGCCCCTTGATTCCATAAACTTATACCCAATGACCCAACTTGTTTTCCTTTATGTGACAAAAGCTTGCACATCTGAAAATCATTAAATGCAATGTTTCTTCTTACTCATTTTAACAGAAGTAAGGGAAAAGTTCTTTGACCAGGACCTGCCTGCAGCACCACCCTGCCACCCCCTTAATTATTTTTGTGTGTCGTCCCTTTAGATTTACTCACCTCCCCAGGGGCAGTAGCACCCACTTTGGGAATCACTGCTCTAGGTCCTATCCTAACTTCATCACCACCTTATTAAAAACAGGATAATTTTTTGAAGCAATTGTTTGGAAAAAATTTACAATGTAAGGTAGAAAATATAGTAAGATAATTATGTTCGTAAGATTTCTCTTAAATAGTCTGTCAGATAATGAAATCTCAGCATCAGAATTATATAAGTTTAGTATGATTTTGGCTTTAAATGCTTTTGTTCATCAATATTATATTTATAATGAAAACAATTGATAACAATTTGTTACAGATGGAACTTTACTTCAAAAGAGAAACAATGTTTTCTATAAAATTCTTTTCATATAATATAAATTTTATCATAAAGTCTGTAATATAAGTTACATTACAGTGAAAAAAAAANTTTACTTCAAAAGAGAAACAATGTTTTCTATAAAATTCTTTTCATATAATATAAATTTTATCATAAAGTCTGTAATATAAGTTACATTACAGTGAAAAAAAAAATTAAAAGACAAGTTTTTAAACTTAATTTTCATTTAAATATTTCTTGACATATGAAAATGATTGATTTGAACATTTTTCTTCTATATCTTCTACATCTATATAATTTGAACTAAAATATCACATTCTATATGGTATTTTAGTTTAAATTATTACAAAAATAAAACCAATTATTTATAGACTGGTGCTTTATATCCAGCTTCTGTTTGGCATTGTTCAGCTTTGGAACATCTGTTGTAATTAATCGATATCTGTATACTTATATACTTTATTCACAGTATATAAAAAGCATAATAAAATCTAAGAGTGGTAAGCAAATATATATCCTAATATTACATTAATTTTAATATAATATTGTTTTAATTAATAATGAATTACTTTAATATTACTGTTTAGATACATTATTTATAAGTTAATAAAAAGAGTTAAACATGCAGATAGATGTTTTGTGTTAATTGGACTATTCTGTGAGTCAAACAGGTATGTAAATGATTATAATTGTGGTCCATTGCTCATCAGGTAATGCTACCAGAGGGTCTTAAAATTGTTATTCCAATATCTTATAAAATGTCTTGCAGAGACTCAGAATTTTTACTATACCTATTATTTAGAGATCTTCAAATACCAGCTATGTCTGTACAGTACAATAAAACACACTATGCACAGTTTTTAGAGTTTAAGAAAGACTGCATTATCATGCTTAGGAATGCAGGATGGCCATTTTGTTGAATAGCCTTCCATCTGGACAATTTCTGTGAGGAGGTATTGTGACAGTGGTTATGTCAGGGCACACATGCATGGCAGGCAATTATGATACTATACTAATGTTATTTAATAAATTAAACATTATATAAAGCTATTTATTATATTAATGTGTTGAATAAACAAAAGGATTCTGAATGTAAAGTTACCATAGGTCAAAAATTGTCCATATTCAGTTTCTTTAAATTGAAAGATATTAAAGAAAAAAGTTGAGTATCGAATTATATATTAGCTCTAAACTGTTAAAGTATTGAATATATACATATATATTTGATGAATTATTACACACATCAAAAATGTTGATTAATTTATTTGTTTTTATCTATTTTAGTGCATTTTATGAACAAATACAATTTATTTTGATTTTTAAATTTGATTTTACATTTACATAGTATATATTTTTATGTTGAATAGTTTCTAATGTACAGATTATTTTAAATATATTATGATATAAGCTTAATATTTATAAGCATTTATTACTATTTTTTCATATTAATTTAAAGTGTTATTTACATTTTATATAATTTTTAGGTTCATCAAGTTAGTGTAAATCAAGTTCTGAATCAGCAAGCTTATGTTTTATTTTACATTCGTGTAGCAGCTACTAGTTCTAATCATTTAAAGGTATTAAATTTTGATATTATACCTGAGAAATTTTAATAATTTATCTAAATAATAAATTTGAATCATAAAAATTTTAGATCGCTACATTTTTATTTGAAGACCTATTTATGTATTGCTGAAAGTACCTTTTATAATATTTAAAAAAAAATCATATTTTGCTGAAAAGTGCAGATTGTATTTTTTATATGCTATGAAGAATTTTAAAATATAAATTTAGAAATTTTTAACATGCTCCATATTTTTAGCATTTAAAATATAAATTTTTAACGTATGGATAATTAAGGCAATGTAATTCCTGGTTTAAGCAAATACAAATCAATAATTCTTAACTGTAATTTGATTTTTAACATAACTATTGAAGAAAATTCCATATTTCATTAATAGTTATGTTAAAGAATTTATAGGCTAGATCAGATTAAATAATAATTAATTTGATCTAACCTATTAATGAATTATTACCTGATTCATTTTTGATTAATCCTATTGTTTCATAGGATGAATCAGGTAATAATTCATTAATTTATCCTATGGAACAATAGGATGAATCAATGAATTTAGATATACAGTAAAACTTCTCTAACTCAAATATTTTTTTAACTTAAGGAAATGAAGTACTAGGTAGGTCTGAATGGAACAGCATAGAGATTTAACATCTTAAACTTGAATTTACTTAACTCAAATTTTCTCCAAGTCAACGTTTTTCGTGATCCTCTTGACACCAATTTATGTTCATTTCATCTTTTCTGACTTCAATTCCAATATTTATTCTATCCAAAGTGATCATAATTATTGGATTTTCATGAAATTTTCAGACAATTAATGGTATCTACTCTCCAATACCAATTTTCAGACAATGTTCCAGTCCAAAGTGAGAGGTCCTCTTGCTTTATCTCAACAAGATGTACAGTACTGCAAAACTGTTTGATTTCATTAATTAAAGTGACCATACACGTTAAGTTAATCCTCAAAGGATTAACCATGCATGCTTGACCTTGAGTAATTCCTGATAATGTGTGGGGGAAAATTTAATAGTTTTGGCGAACTGTACCGACCACTGGAGTAGAAACGAAAAACCATTGATTTTCCTGCACACTGTCAGACTGCGCAGACCGACCTTAACATGTGTGCCATCGTGTCGTTCAGTTGTGAGACTACTGAGTAGTTAGAACAATGTCTCGTGAATGTTTGGAAGAATTATTTTCTATAACCTTACTAACTTTTATTATTTATAACCTAAAAAAATTAATTATTCAGGTTATAAATTATTTTCAGATCAAAAATTTCTTGAGTAAATTAAAATTATAAATTATTTTAATATTTAGAAAACTTTGCAATTCATTTCTTCCATTTTCATAAAACATCTTGATACTCTATATCATTTTCTTTTACATTTAAAAAAATTTATTGTTTTAATATCCAAGTAAATTAAAACATGACAACTTAAAATAAGACAAAGTTTAATAAATTCTTTTTAATTATTAAATTATAAAATTAATTTGCGATAATAATGTTTACAATTTGTACTAATATCGGATGTGGTTGAGAATTATTAATATATATTCGTCTATAAAATTTAATCCATGAATTTTTTTGGTAGTAAAATCGACTTGCCATTGTCTTTCGCTGCTTTTTAACATAATCTATAGGCCAAGATTTCTCTTGAAAAATTAATTTTGTGATATGAAATAATTCCATTAAAAAATTATTCGTATGAAAAATCAATTTTGTGATTAGTGCTACCCAAACCACTACTACTACTATTTACACCATAGACTTCTATGCATACTTTTTCCCGCGAGTTTTAATAGAATTTGTTGCCAATAAACATCAGTGGCGTAATAATAAACACAATGACGTAGCGAACGTAACTGCACCCGGGCCGCGACACTATATTGGCGCCCCTCCCCCTCCAGAAACAAATTTTGTTATTCTTGGAAACCATTAGGCTCCCCTCTGCCAGTGGCGCCCGGGGCAAGCTGCCCCAC